TTTGTGGTGCAATCAGAACATTGCGTGTGTTGAAGTTGTTTTAACGCAAACCAAAGATGCCTTTAAAAAAACAAGTTTACATCCTATTCTTATGCCTGCCAGTGCTGTGTGTGAGGTAATTTAAGGTGGTTCTGACAAGTGTCGGAACACTTTTATTGTAAGCCGCCCGGAGTCTTCCGAGAGTGGGCGGCATACAAAACTAATAAATACAAAATATCTTCATATCTGGTCACATGGGCGGCAAGCCACTCCCATCCGGTCACATGGGCAGCAAGCCACTCCCACAAAGGAGGGAGTTAAAAATGATGTAAGCACACAAGCCATCAAATCATCATCATCATCATGGTGGTAATATTACCCTTCAACCTGCTGACACTCACCAATGAAATCAATAGCTTCGGGGAAGAACTGAGAAAGGTTCTGGCTCCAGTGATCTGAGATGGGGATTTGCTTGTAGTGGAAGTCGCCCGTCTTCTCAAAGAGGTTTGGGAGGTTCGGAGTCACATTGAGGATGTAGTGGATCCCCAGTTTGGCCAGAGTGTCCATGTTGGCAGAATCACGGGCGCACCCCAGGTAGAGATTGGGCAGGATCTGCACAGGAAAGGAGGGGGGGCTCGTGCCTTCAGACTCCATGCCGCTGCTTAGGGGCTCCGACTCGGCATCCGAGCCATCTGAACTTAAGCTCAGGCCTCCCAGCCCCACAATGGGAGCCGCCAGAGGAAGCGGAGAGCTGCTGGTACTGGCTGTGTCCAGGTTGGTTTCACAGAGATGGGGCCATTCAGCCTGGAATTTATTGAAGCCTCCTGGAGGAAGGACAGATGCAAGAAAGGAAAGTATCAGTGTTATCGGATGGCATCGGAAGCTCCCCAAATGTGACAAACCTTGTTTTCTACCCATCCCACAAGTTATTTGGAAGATTTATCCACATCTAAGTGGGTAGGCTGCATACATCCTCATTCAGTTTCCCCACAATTGAGGCCAACATTCCTGTTGCTAAATAAGACCCCTGTTAAATGAGTTTTGCCCTATTTTACGTCTGTCCTTGTCAGAGTTGTTACGTGAATTACTGCATTTTTTTAAATTAAAAGTTTTAATAAGTTTTACAATTATATACCTTCCACCTTCCCTCCCTCCCCCCAATCCCCCATCCCCTCCCCCCATCCCCCCCCAAACCTCCCAGAGCAAATACAGGGTATAAACCAGTATTTCTCAACCTTGGCAAT